TATATAGAAACACTTATGGCTTGAAATCTAATATGGCTGCTATTTAAAGTTATCTCAATATTCCGATAACTAGTAAAGATATCACCACAGTTTCAACGGGTCTAGGGAACTAGGAATTAAATGGCGAAAAATATGCGGGGAAAATAATAATCCAAGATAGCCTTCATGGACAAGTAGGGCTGTGTATTGCGGCTGAAAATCGTATTGCGATATAGGGATTGCGATACATGTCCCTGTATTGTGATACGTATTACGATATATTGCGAAACGTCGTTCAGTTGATATTTCAGCTTTTTTTCCCAATTTGTGAGCAACTTACGTTATGTTATGCATACCACTTAACAAATGGTCATAGATCTTTTATTATTAAGTAGGCTATTGCTTTCGTTATTTCTTTAGCTCTTAAGGAATTTGGTGGAAGCTGTAGGCCCCTATGACTTTTTTATTACTAAGAAAGGTGTATATGTTTCCCTGACCCTGTTGTGATTGTTCTCTATCCCCACCACCTAATTGTCTATTTGGCACATTTTCGGATGGCATTCTTGACGGATGATGTCTGCGCATAGAGGCCCTATGTGTTGTTAGTTAGTAGTTGTTATTGCAGAATTTTATTTCCATTGCACATATTCTACATATAGCTGCTTCACGATGTATTATTCCATTTTATTAAATCCAAAGTGCTTCCACACAGCCGATTTTCCCTTTCCGTTACTGACCAAAATTCCTCCCAAATTTGACATTTTTTCAGCGGTTGCCATCATAGATATCATATAATAGACTATTATAAAATATCTATGGTTGCCATGCTGCCATAGACTAGTTTTTTATTGTCGTAAAACGTATTACGACATTATTTATTTTCTATAATTAAAACTAAAACTAACGTCATATTTAGTAAATTTAGCTTAGTTTGAAATTTAACAACGATATTAACGCGATTACGTTTTATTTAAAGCAATAACAACACCAATTTTGAAGATGTAAATATTACGACAACCACAACTAGGGTCTGGCACATGAAAAGTGAAAGTAGAGTAAAAAAAATCGTCAATATCGATACACGCAGATCGGTATCGATATATTTCTTCCAGGTGTCCCGTATCGCAATGCAACGATATATCGATTATTTCCGACAGCCCTATGGACGAGCCAACATCAATCGGCACAAAATGTGAAGGATAAACCATCTAGAAAATTCCGAGATGTTGGTGTAAAGCTACAGTTACTGTCACTTGACAATTTAGCATTGTAGTATTCCCCGTCACAAGAACAAAGTGACATGCAGGGAAGTGCAGACTTCTTACACCTGCAGCGAATAAAGGGATCCTTTTTGTGTATATAATCCACATAGGATAAGTCCCATTACAGATCTTTTCTTAGAACAATATCATTTTAATAATTTATTCATTACCTGATCATTAATATTGATATGATTTGATAATAAAAGAAGTAAAATTGGACCCTCGTTACTTAAATTGCAAAAGGTAGATCTCTAGATGTAATCCTCACATCTCTGTCCAGTAGGTAAAACAGCTAATGATTTCAATATTGTGAAGGTGTTATCGGGGTGGGGGGATTATGTATTTTGTGAATAGGGCAGACATGGAACAACAGTTCCGAAATGATGTTATTGAACTTATCCGAAGATCAAGGCTACGGTTCATGTGGCTTGGCGAAGAATTTGTCGAAAACTATCTAAATTTAAGTGCACAAAGCTTTCACCTGTATCATTCACCACTGCGTTTTTTCGTGGAGTATGGATTTATTTAGCGTATATGATGACCAACATGGGGCCCCCGGAAAATTATTGAAGGTGGCGATCTTCGCCTGAAATTAACAAAGCTTTAGTTCCAGATACATCTAAGATCCTTGTCCTAGAACACCAAGCGCAAGGTATTTCAATGAACAGTCTGTAAATATAAGTTTGAAGCAGTACCTTACTGGCAAGATGTGTCAGTATTTTTTTTAGAAAATCCTTGTTTTACAAGGATGAATGACGGATAAATTTTTTCTCAATTTTGACTAACAATTTATAACACAAATTTCAGTTTTGACTATTCAAGTTGAATTTTGATTCGCCTTTCCTTAAAAGTCGGTAGTAATTCAAAATGTCCTAGTTTTAGCAGATCGATCTTGATGATGACGGTAGTTCCGAGGGTTGCAGTTTTGTTTTCTAGAATTGACAAAAGATTTTCGCGAAAATATACAATTTTATTTGATTCGCAGATCGTCACGATAAATTCTAATTTCGTCTAATCAGTGGAAGTATTGACTTGCAAACTCGCAAACTGGGATGAGATGCCCTCAAATTCATTTCTGATCCCTTACAAGAAAAATCTGACTTACCTCTCTTATTGTATATTATGGATAAATTGCACATCAACAACAAATATTTATGTGCATAAAATTCTATATAAAAATCAAGGATTATTCTGTTTTATTTTTACAGCTGCTGAGATTTGGAATTTATGGCATTTATTAAAATGTTACACATTGTGAAAATCAAATTATATAGGGTAAAGTTAGATGTATTTAGACATATGGGTATCTATAGTCGTTCAAAGATATTTATGGCCCTATGTTGGCGATTTCAATCGTTGACCAATATTGGGATAGGATGAATTATAATGAATGTTAGTTTTATAGAACTTTAAATAAAAATTATTGTAGAAATCGTTGAAAAATATATCGTATTCTGTCCGTTAAAAACACAAGACGAGGTGTATATAAACATATATAGAAAAGACGTCTATAGAAATAGGAAAAGAGATTCCTTTTTTTTTTCGAAGGAATTATACGATATTTATACATATCTAGTACTTCAGAAGATTATTAACATATATTCAAGAAAAAAATCCCCCCCCCCTCCCTCACAAAAAATGGCGTATTTGTCCCTTTAAAACAACGTAAAAGCACCAATTTTGTGTTTTTCGATTAAGAAATGCTCTGAAGACTTTAAATGGAGCAAATGGAGTGTAAATACTAAACTTGAGAGTGACTGTCTGATTCGTCGCGGATTTTGTCGGTTTGTGGACTTAAATATACACGGATTTGGGGGCAATATGTTTATGTGTATAATACATGTCAATGTATTGTTTATGGGTTGGGGTTAATGTGGACTTTAATTTGAAGAATTATGCAGTAATAAATGTAGATATTTTTTGCGGTAAATTTGAGATTATCTGACGTGATTCGGAACACTTCATTTATTTTTATTTCTAAGCAATTAAAACAAATAATCCAATTTAAAGTCATTCAAACATTTTAAAATCTGGAGCAAATTGTCAGAAAAATGACTTTTTGAAGGATGGAGACGAGTGATTCATTGATAAAGTTTCGGCAACTCAAAACAATTCATCACAGTGAAAAATATTTGCAGACAGGCACTTAAAACTGTAATAAAATTATCATCATTTAAACCACGAAATTAATGCGCTCTGGATCACGAATTTGAAATAATATGAAACTTATTAAATTAAATTAAAGTCAATGGGCGGGCCTTATAAATTATTTTTTACTAAGAAGGTCTGAACGAACTATAATACTCAAATGTCGACGTTTATGGGGTTTACCCTCCCTCTGTTTTTGTTTTTACATACGTTTTTTGCCGCAAAATTAGTGTCAGCACGGAAATAACTATCGGATTGTCAGGGCTTCGTGACTAGCAGAGATTTGTAGTCACGGGTTATATGTAGAAGCCTGAACTCTGTATCTGCTTCATCCCATTCCATGTACTTGTGGGATCTCTTTAGCTTAAATTGCTCATCATAATCAATCCAGCCTCTTTAACTGCGATTCTTGGATTCTAGGGGGACGAGTAAGTACTCAAATACATGTATTTAAGAAAGGCACCCGTCCTCAATTCTTAGGTTATAAGATTTCTTAGGCTTTTCTTGAACACATTTTCTCATGTGTGCCAAAGTAAAACGTCTGTTATTCTTAGATTGTGCCAACAGACCCTTTAGGTTTAATAGCGTTGAGAGATCAAGAGATTCCACTCATATTCTTAAGAAATAATTCATTAAAATTAGGTAAATAATCACCTGTTCCTGTCACATTAGAGGATGTAGGCGAACAACTAACATCAGGGATTTCTTGTAGATAACTGCATATCATTGTCGTCTTCTACAATGAATTTCCTTCAAATAAAATATTTTTTTTCGTTCACTGTCCATATAAATCTTCTTCCTGCATTTATACATTATCTTTCCTATTTTCTTTTTTTTCACTGTCGTATAAGGAGTTGTTGATGGTATTCTTGTTTTTCTCTCCGTGTATAGCAGTAGTTCTAGGTTCTTATGTCCAGATAATATAAATGTCATATTTCCTAGGAATTCGTCTTCTCAACTTTCTTGTTTTCCTCTCCTTTTCCTCGCTTTCTAATTGACGAGAAGCCGAAGTCGGTACCGTGTAATGATGCTATGTATTTAAAAGTTTCTCAATATAACCTACCGTCAAAAAAATGCAGCACATCGATGGCTCAGAGCACAGACCGTATAAGTCCATTTTGGTAATTTTTCACTTTTTATAACAATTGTATAAAATAAATCATTCTGCATCTTATGATAATATTCGTTTGACCCTTATCCCTTTAAAAAGGGGAGATAATCCCAATAATCCATTTGGTTTATCTCCACAAGTCTGATATCTTAAAGCACAAATAGAATATGTCCGGACATATACGCTTTGTGCACAAAATATTTAACTTTTTTTATTTCTATTGGTGGACATATTCCATTTTCGCATCAAAAAGCACATGGTTGAAAAAGTTTTTGGTGCATTAAATTTGAAAACAAAAACAAGGTTTGTGTTTTTTGTGTCATTATAAGTCTTCTTCGATTACTCTATACAATTTAAATGAAGTCAAGGCACATTGTTGATACACACTGGTGATTTTTTGATAAACATAAGTCAGGTCGCAAGTGAAATGACCTAGGTCACATGTGAAGAGCCTTGTTATAGCCTGAAATCAATGAGATTTCTTTTTCTGTATTGTAGACATGGATAAGCTCTTCACAATTGACTCAGTGTTGAATATGTTGGATGAAAATACTCCACAAAGTGATGGTACCACTGGGAGTGATCAGTTCTGGCCCGATGAAATACAGAATGAAGTTGAAGTTGAATCAAAATCGGTAGATCAAGTCATTGTAGAAAGCCTTAAGCTGATTAATGAAAATGAAGATCCAAAATCAGATGAAGATTTTTCTTGTCAAGATGACTATGTTGATGACAGAGCAGATGAGACATACATCCCAGAATCAGAAACCTCTGATAGCGATAGTGATGAAAAACATGTGTCATTTCAAAGTGATCTTGTTCCGCAAGAGGTTCCAATAGCTGGCCCCTGTGATCAAGAAACACCAAGATCTAGGAAAAGAAAGCGGGACCCGTCTCAATGGCAACGAAATGTTCGACATCGCAGGAGGGTTAAAGGCGAGTCATATGTAACCCGTCGAGGGAAACGGGTACCACAAAAAGGACCAAAGCCAGTAAACTGTCTGAACTGTCGTTTCAAGTGTAGTACGTTGTTCAATGAAGATGAAAGAAAACGCATTTGTGGTGAATATTATGCTTTGGCTGATAATGCAAGACAGAAAGATTTTTTATGTAAACGTGTGAAAGTTTTAAAGGTCTATCGACATCGTAGTAGGCATAACAAAAGCAAGAAGAACAAATCATGTGAATACTCATTTGTGAAACACTGTAGCGAATATCGAGTATGTAAAAAGTTTTTTCAGAGCACATTTTAAATATAGGCCATTCAGCAATCACTACAGCAATCACATCCATTGATTCCTCTGGCAATTATTCTAGCGATGATGGCACACCAGCAAAGACACCAGGGAACAAGATCAAGCCTGAAAGGATCGCAAATGTTAAGACCCACATCACATCCTTTGAACCTGTTGAATCCCACTACTGTCGAAACAGACAAAGGCTCATTACCTTCAGTGTGATTTGACCATCAGTAAAATGTATGATCTCTATGTCAACGACTTTTGTCAAAGAATGTCGATAAATGATCCAGTCTCAAGCAGCAAGTATAGAGAAGTTTTTCTCAATGATTTCAACTTGAGATTCTTCAGATCTAAAAAGGATCAATGTTCCATATGCAATGGCTATTATAATGCAGTAGGTGATGATAAAAAAGTCTTAAATCAGATTGGGAAGAGCATAAAAGGCGTGAAAATGAGGCACTAGACGAAAAAAGGCATGACAAAGAACAAGCCAAATTAGACAAATCCTTCCGTTCAATATCATTTGATTTACAGGCCGTTCTGAATTTACCACATGCTGGAGACGCACAAATTTACTATAAGCGAAAACTCTCAGTGTATAATTTTACAATTTATGAGGCCCATTTCGGATGGAATTTGCTATCTCTGGAATGAGTGTGAAGGGCAACGAGGCTCCTCAGAAATAGGCACATCACTTTTGCATTATTTCCAAAATCTGCCAGATAGCGTCACCCATGTTGCTTCATTTTCTGATACCTGTTCAGGTCAAAACCGAAATCAGTATGTTGCATCATCCATGCTTTATGCAGTTCAGAGTTTAAAAACGCTCGAAATCATTGACTTAAAGTTCATGGAATCCGGCCACAGTTATATGGAAGTGGACTCCATGCACTCTGTGATTGAAAGGGCCACAAAACATGTGCCTTTATACACAGATAGTGAATGGGTGGCTGCGATTCGGGGTGCAAGGCGTAATCCAAGGCCTTATATAGTTAACCATGTACAACATCCATACTTTTATAACATGAAAGAATTGGCATTTCATGTCATGAAAAACAGGACGAAAAACACAGCTGGAGACAAAGTTAATTGGATGCATATAAAGTGGATGCGATTTACCAAAAGTAACCCAGGAATAATCAATTATAAGTATAACATCAGTGATAAAGAATTCCTCACTCTTGATACAGGAAAGGGTAATTCAAAAATAAATCTTTCGAAAGCATATACGAAAATGTTGCCCATTTCCAATGCCAAGAAATCAGATCTTATGAGTTTACTGTCATCAAGAGTGATTCCACCCAATTACTATCAATTTTATTCTGATCTCCCATCTTCAAGACGGTTGACAAACGTCACTGATAATGATGATGATACCGACTGACAATACTATTACGTTAACAATAAAATGAATGAAGAAAAATGGAATTACTCGGTCTCGTTTTTTTTGTTTCTGATAGAGATTAAGCAATTTTATTGATCGCAGAAAGCAGAAACTATATCCTTTTTGAATTCTAGGTGAAGATGAAAAACCAAATCTCTTTGATTTCATGAAATATTCACTGTTATAGAGCAGACAAAATGGGATAAGTCCACAGTTTTTACGAATTATTCAGTACACAATCAGAATATGTCCAATTAAGTGTCCCCACCCCCTCAAAAAACAATTTCAGTAAAATTTTGTTTGCGAAACTATAACAGTATGTCATATGCATTGTATTATCAAAATATTGTGAATCTATCTCTAAATATGTGCTGGTACGAATTGTTTAAAACTTTAAAATGCGAATATCTCAAAACAAGAAAAAAGGACTTATACGATTTGTGCTCTTAGCCATCGACATGATTGTTGTTGATGTCACAAACAAGCTTCTCTGTAAATTCTACTTTAGGTTGTACTAGAGATGGATACCTGCAGTGGACAGATAGACGAATAACATTATATTGTTGTGATCTCACCCACAACAAAACCATCTAGGACGAAGTGAACGGAATTTTTTTAAATCACCTATTGTAGTTGGATTATCTTCAAGAAATCATTTTCAGTAAAAGTTCGGAATGTGATCAGGGGTATATACATTTTGAAACTAACAACGTGGTGTTGTTGGCAGGGATTGAAATATTAGAGGATCTGTAAAAATTTCAGCTGAAGTTCAAGGTGGTCACAAGCTCCTATGCGGGGTACAAAGGCAGATTTTACTATTTTAAGATGTTTTGCAAGTCGGTATCTTCATTAGAAATTTTCATCCCTCAAACCAAATTTTTAGTACCACTTGCTAGAAAAAAAGAGTATATCTGTGTTCGTTTATTTTAATGCAAGAAATTGACTATAATTTCTTGAGGTATATAGAACACAATCTAAATATCAATGTCACCTTGGAGTGATCCGAGCAAGTTGGAACAGTCTTTGAATTGGGCGCCGTAACTAACAAATATGGGAAAGTAGTTTTTTGTACAGCAGGAGACATTTCTAATTGCTAAACGTTAATAAGATTAATTGAAATCATATATTTAAACCTAGCTGGGACAATAATGATTAAGACGAACAAGTTAGCCTGGTCCAACTTACCTACAGCTACTCGGACATCAGATTGAAACATATAACGGTTCGAAATGCCGTGAACCTCTAGAGAAGATCGTCATGGGAATTACAATTGTGCCAGTTGTAAATAGCACCATCGTCGATGCATTCACGATGGACCTATTTCTTACAGGTGACACCCCTGGCCTGCTGTTAGAAACTGTTGAAAGAGGCTTGTTTATGTTGCCCTAGTAGTAGCTGCTTCATTTTCATTTAGAAGTGCATCCTAATCTTAATTGTCCATCTGAATAGCTGTTCTACGTCGTTTTCTGTTGCTCTGTTTTCATTGATTGATTAAGTGGATTCTTTGGAAACGGTATGAACTTTTGCCAAGATGCTGATATTCTATAAGATTGTCTTCAGACTGCAGATTTGTGTTTTGGATCTATACTACACAAATATCATGCAAAGTAAGATTAACACCAGTCGAAATAAGTTCTATTTCACCATTTGTCCGGTTCCTCGACTAGGAGTTTGTTTTGTCTGATCTCTAGTGGTTCATTTTAACTAATTTACCTGATTCATCCTAGTTAACAGTTGTTTTATGTCTATTCCCTGGGAATTCATTTAAACTGTGATTAACTTGATTCATCTTAGTTAACAGTTCTCTCACCACCAGTAATTTAACGGTAATAACATGTACTTATCTTAAAATAATTTGAGACATATCCATCAATTATCCATAGCCTCCATTTTGATCCATTTGATTGCAACGTAGTGTCTTTTATCTTTCTCATGCCTTAATAACCAATTTTCTTGTGAACCACAGAATCGTTGTATTATTTGGTCCTACTACCAACATATACAACCACTAAACTCCAATGGTGTGGTGTCAATAGCCCTAATGCTAGTTGTTGTTATAATAGCCCTATAAAGTGTTGGAGATTAATCCATTGCATCAGACCCTCCATTCCAGCCCGTGTACCGCTTATGCCTCGCTACATAGAACAAATATTTTTGTTTCGTCTTGAGCTGGTTCTCATATTTTATCCCAAGGTTATGGTTCTCAAACCTCTTTTGAGACTACATTAAACATAGATGCAAACTTTTTCTGTTGGCATGCCTGTTAGACACCTCACTGTCCACGTCACCCGAGATATTTGCAAAACACTTCCACTATCGTAAGGTTTTAGTTTCTGTTCCTTTGGTTAATATCGGACATTCGTGCTTCGACGGTCCGCTTAGTCCACCCACAGTCAATATCTTTTTTTTTTATTATTGAGATCTATTATAGTGGATTTATGTGGACTTCTTATATAACAATTTGCAACTGAAAACAGCAAACGATATTTTTGGTTAACCAGCTGGCTTTGGAAAGAAAATAGTTTCAGCGTATATAAAAGAGAGAAGTACTTATTTTTCCCTTTTTCTTGTCTACGTGTGACACATTTTCAGACAGAAGAACTGTTCAACAAACTGTTATTACTAGGCGAAATCAGGGGGTTTCCTCAGTTTATCATATTGAGCAGGTCCACAGAAACAAAAAGAGTAGTGTGGCATAAAATGAGCTATGGCCATTTTTCTATGGAGGTCAATCGTATTCAGAATTAGATGCTATGTACTTATGTCTAATACATACGACACGATACATCTGTGCAATGTTCAAAGACAAAATACCTCTTTTACTTATGTGATTATACAAGCATGATATTTAAAGGAAATAGAAAATATTGTATCATGTTGTTTTGGTTCAATATGACAATTTGGACACTACTCATTCTTATGGTTTCAATGTTTCAAATGATTAGCTGCTTAATGATCACTAAATTCCAATTGAATTAAAATAATGCTTCGTAGAAGAGGTAATTTATATGCCCACATCATAATGTGGAAGTATATTGTTGTAGCCTCTGTTCGTTCACAATTGGCTTGTGAACACAATAGAGGCTAGAGTTTTTATATGATTTTGATGTAACTTTGTATGTATATCTGTATTGATGAGATCTCAGTTCAAATGTTCAATTCATCGAACGCGTTCAAAATTATTTCCCTTGACTTTAAAGCGCAAAATTTTAATGAAGACAGAGACTATAATAATTCTTATCCGATTTGAACTGGGATGCTTTGTAAATTAGTTGAATATTCATACCTTCTTATGTCTGTCGGATTTAATTTAAAGAAATTTGAGTTATAGCCATTGTACTTGTATATATTAACTTTATTGAAGTAGTGATGCTACTTTAAAGGCAAAAGCTTCCATGAAATTTCCTGCTCGTTTTCAGTCTATGGCATGTTTTCTTCTTGAACGGTACGAATTGATATTATGACACATAAATAATATATGACAACACATTGCAAAAGGATATGAATAAAACATGGTTAGCAATACCATTTTGTTAATTGATGAAATTTTAGTCCATTTTCATCATTTTTCAAATTAGTGCCCTTGACATGGTAAAATTTGTTAAATAAATTCCCAACCCAATAACAAAATAGTAGTAAATAAATACTTCAATTATTGTGGCCTAAATATACTCAAATTTTACAAATTACAAACTCTTAAATAATTAATATTAGAACAAAATGAACAAACATTACAAAAGGAACTTAATCTAATCCGCCTAAGAACAAAATGAAGAAATATCATACGCGCCTGTAACCAGTAAAATAATGAACTCACTGTCTAACTAGCGAACAGATATAATGAAAACAAGATGAAAACCAATCACAGGTATTGAAAGGGTTAATCTGACCAGTGCTAACCTGAACTAATTTACACTTAAACTCATTATACGAAGCAAAATCGAAATATCTTCATTTATACTTAAACTCACTCTACGAAGGAGAAAATAAAATAGTTAAAGGAGTTGCCAATTAAACATTTTGTAGATAAAATACTAAAATTTGGCTATATTTTAAATGACTCCATACCCAAATTTAATGAGGACCATGAAATAAACAGAAATGATGCAAAGGTAGCTTTATCAGATGTAAGTTATCAGACTTTTTTAAATTTTAATTCCTCCACTTTGGGGTATTTTTTAGAGTCTTTTCAAGACATTTTATACACCCACATCTCTTGTACATCTATAGGTGTGGTGGGCACCCCCTGCCCTGTCTGTCAACATTTGCT